CATGGCAAGCCAACGGGAAGTGTGCAGCCCTAAGACAGCCTGCCCCAGCGCTGCTCAAAGCAGCATTCCTGAGCGGGAAGTGGAAAAAGTGACATGTGCAGAGGGCTTCCTCAACCGCTGATTAGCTGTGGCAACAGCAGCGCCAGCTCCACCAAAGCCCAGGGGGCTCAGCAGGGGTGACTTGGCAGTGAACTTGGAGAAGCCCAGGATGGAGGGCTAACCCAGCAGGCCATAATGGTAGGGCTTCCCTGCTAAGCAGATGGGCGCCAGAGAAGAATGGAGGAGCAGGGTGGGCAGCATCTCCAGGGCAAGTGAGGGCCTGAACCCGCAACCGCAGCCCAGCCTGTAAGCCAGCCACATGGCTCCAGCCAGAGCTAGCGCCTGGGCACAGCAACAGAGAGGCGGCTACTGAGGTTACAGAAAGCAGAGGGAGTTGAGACCAAGGATACCCAACCCTGCTTACACCCTTTCTTCCTCAGGAAAACACCTAAGCCCTGGCCCTAAACTGCTCTTGGCTCCAGTGGTAACCAGTCAACCCAGATGAGACTCCCAGAAGCTCTGGGGGCTTAAATACAAACTCACACAACCCCCCACCCCACCCCGAATTCCCAATATGAAAGCGTGAGTCCCGACAACACAACAGCTGTTGAAGGCAGCGGCAAAGCTCCCCTCTATGAACCAAATGGGTCCTGAAAAGTGCCCTTCAACAGCAACGCCTCCAGGAAAAGCAGTAATTCTAAAAGGAGTTAAAACTCATATTATTTAATGTTATAAACCTCCCAGAGTTGGCATATACCAGTTTCTTAAGAAAATCAAATTCAAACTAAACCCAAAGTTCAGTAATTTTAAAATTTACACATCAGGAGCAGGAGAGGTGGCCCAGTGGGTAAAGGCACTGGTAGCCAATCCACGCGACCTGAGTTCCAATCCCTCAGGGCCGCGTGGTGGAAGGAGACGACCAAATCCCCAAAATTGCCCTCTGACCTCCACAAATTCATCCACAAATAAAATAAATAAACAAATAAGTAAACGAACAAACAGTAAAATAATATATGCATGAATCATGGCAATAATTATTCAGAGAAACAAAATTATTTAATGCATGTTTTTAAAACTTCACATACTATACAAAGTTGGCCCCTCTTCCAAGGTTGCCACAGGAAAGCCCGGTTTTTGAACTTCTCTTATATAGGAAGAATGTCAACACACTCATGGGAACGCACACAGCAGCTGACCATGCTCTCGCAGCCCCACTCTCCTGGCACTTGAGGGGCTCAAGAAAGAAAACCATGGGTCGGAATCAGCCTAGCCTACAAAAAGAAACCCATTTATGATTCTGATGAGATGACGATGTCACCTGGCTTGGGGCTTTCTTCAGAGCAACAATGTTGCAGGCTGTCTGGTCACACATTCACTGCATGAATCTCCATCTCCTCTCGGGGCAGGACAGCTCAGCATGCAGAGGCGGCTGTCAATGCCCAGAAATATCATATCAAAAATCAGAAAAGCCAACCAGGAACAGGGAAAGAGAGTCTGGCCCCTTGACTGCGCTGTGATGGAGCAGATCAACCCCAGGGGGGCTGGACTGGACACACAGACCTTCATTCCCCTTTCCTTCCCTTTTCTAATGGGCCTGGGTAAGGACCCACCATAAATAAGATTCTGAGCTAAAGGAGTTCTACAAGGGGAAATCCAGCTGGGACGAAAGTACTGAGAGAGCCTATGGGAGCTCAGTCAGCAGACTGCTCGCCTAGTGTGCTGTGAGCCCTTGATTTCAACCCCCGTACTGAATAAAACCGGGCACGGTGGCACACCTGTAATTCAACAGGCAGGAGGGCATCCCTGGCTACAAAGCAAGGCCCAGGCCAGGACGGGTTCCAGGAGACTCTGGGGATCTCGGGAGCTGCAGAGGTGGGCCGAGGCAAGCCACACACAAGAGTGCAGGCCTCGAGTGGAGAACACAGGATGTTTTAGGAGATGGCAAACAGGCCAGCTGTTGGTTGTTTATTGTTGAAGATGACTGTAAAGATGGAGATACAGGGGCAGTGGTGGCACATGCGCACACCTTCAATCCCAGCACTCAGGAGGCAGAGGCTTGTTCCAGGGGCAGGAAATAGGAGGAAAAGAGGGGAAAGTGTATTCGGTATGTAAAATAAATGAAAAAAAAATTAATTAGAAAAGAAAAAAAGCAAGTTCCAGGACAGCCAGAGCTACAAAGAGAAACCCTGTCTTGAAACCAAAATAAAAAAAAGTGAAGAGGAAAAAGAAACTTGTCCAGATCACAGGAGCATCATAGTCTGAGCTCTGCCGTGAGTCACTGCTGCTCTGATCACACACACACACACACACACACACACACACACACACACACACACGAGAGATGTGAAGGGTTAGCCTCGCGCCCTCCCATTGCTAAAGCCACCACTGATAGAAGCAAGTACTAGGTCTGAATTACAGGCTGCAGCATGTTGGGAATCCAGTCCTTAGAACAGCAGATCCCAGAAAGTGAGGATTCAGTTTCCAGAGATGCAAAAGCCTGGAGATCCAAGGACCAGGACGGGAAAGAGGAGCAGGTACAAATTACATCCAGCCAAAGGTGGGTTAGCAGGGAGAGGTACCTGCCACCAAGCATGACAGACTGGGTGTCGTCCCGGGAACCCACATAGTGAAAGGAAAGAACAGATTCCAGTCTTCTGACCTCCACAAGGACGCAGTCTTCTGACCTCCACAAGGACGCCGTGACATATGTAACCACACAAATAAATGTAACAAATAATTTAACAACAACACAGAAAAGAATCCCTGGTTTGGCCAGGTGTGGACCTCCTATTCTCTAGTCTCACCATTCAGGAGGCCGAGGCCGGAGAATCATGAGTTCTAGTCCAGAGAGGGTTGCACAATGAGTCTAGGGCCAGTCTGAGAGCATATAAAAAGACTCTGTCTTCAAAAATGGCAGTTGCAGGGGTGGAGGGGGGATTCTAGTTCCAAACCTTAAGCTTCTCTTCCTCCACCAGGTATTTATCACACCAGGGATCTCAAGGTTTGGAAAGAAACTCAGACATTTACAGCTTCATTACCCAAACTTCAAAATGGTTTAATCCACAGATCCGAACAGGCTAGGTCCCTAGCCCCAGCCTTATTAACATTGAGGTCTGCCTACAATGTCAGTTAATGGCACTGTTAAACAAGAAGGAAAAACGTGCTGTGATCTAGTAAAGAAATCCTTGCCCCCTGAAGACATGCATCTGGGGTGGGTAGAGCCCCTGGACTTCCCCAGAACAACAGGCGCCACAGCACAGGGACAGGTTCCACACCAAGGCACGTTTGCTAGAACTGATTTAAGGCCCTCATTAAAATGTTTCTTTGCAGAGCACAAGATACTCCCAACTCCCTCCGGTCCAACTTCCGGCTCACACACCCCCTCCCCAGGACACCCATCGCTGAAGTTCACAGTCCTCACAGAAGAAATTCAGCAACTGGTGTGAATCACCATCAGACTTCTTAAAGATGAACCACAGGAGCAAAGACAGGCACAGCCAGCGGAGCCACACACCAAAACCCACCAGGCAGCCCAGAAGGCCTGTGAGCTGGGGCTGCTTGCCCATATGGCTGCACCCTCATCCTGGCTGTGTTTAAAAGGAAAAAAAAAAAAAAACTTCCACACTTCCTCCGGGAGCAGATGTGGGACTTCGCCATGAGCAGTAACTACCACACAGATACCAGCTAGGAATTCCCAGGACGGGTTCTTTCTGGACTCTGCTTACCTCTTTTTTTTTTTTTTAAATAACTGGAGTGGGAGAGACTTTCATTCTCTGGCCCCTAAACCCTCAACAGCTGGTCAGGGAGATGACAGCAGACAATTCCCTGCCCCTGCCCGCCGGACTGGCACTCTTTAAAGGAATGGTTAAGTGATCACCTAAGACAGAATGGGCAGAATGTCCCCACTAAAGAGGGCTGTTTGGCGGAACACCACAGAAGGGGTTGTCTCGTAAGGTGAGGAGCCGTCATTTGGTCCTTGCTGACTGGGACCAGCAGAATGCGTTATTTGAGTGGCGTGGCGATTTCCGGTTAAATCACTTCCAACACCTTTAATGGTGACTGACTCTCAGGTGTGATCAGCCGGGAACTAATAATCTGCAGGATGTGGTGCCCCTTGTTTGCCCTGGAGACGTGGGCCACACCCTCATCAAAGTACATAGGCCCTCCACTAAAAGCCAGAGTTGAGCTTTTTTGCCTTTCTGCCCTTCGGAAGACAGATATTTCTTTCCTCCCAGAGCACCGACAGGATGGAAATCCAGGAAACAGCAGAGCAAAGCCCGTCCGCACCTTGGCAAGCCGGCCATGCCCGATTTTGGCAGAGGCCTTCAACACATTAGTCACTACTACAGCCTGGGACCCTCCGCTCCCGGGATACGACCCTGGCACCGAGTGGGCTCAAGGCTCGGGCCTAGTTGGAGGAGATGAGGCACCCCTCAGTCTAACCTGCCCTCACGGGCAGGACCATCTGGGGTTCCAGCTTTGCCCCGGAACTTTCCGGGAGAGAGCCGGGCGCATCGGGCCGGTATAGGTAACAAAGCTCCGCGCCAGGCGCGCCCTAGATCAGGTCGGTCGGGATCGGGACCCAGGCCGGTCTCCCTCACCTGGGCTCCAAGGCCTGGGACACTCCCAGGGTGTCGGCACCCTCTCACGGGATGGGAGGGCGCTGTTCCCCAAAAAGGAGCTCCCCAGCAGGGATCGGGAGCTGGCGACTCCGGACAACGCTCGAGCAAACTCTCGGATCGGGCGGGCGGACCGACCTGGAGAACTCGCAGCAAACGCGTCCCCGCGCCCCAGGGCACCGCGCGCGCACGGGGGCGTCGCCAAACCCGGATCCCCAAACTCCCGGCGAGCCTCTCTACTGCCCCAATCGCCCAGCCCACCTTTCCAGGGCCCTTCCAGCTCCCGGGACTACCGCGCTTCTCAAAGCCTAGTTCGGTACCCCTGGTTCTCGGGAGACTCACCGACCAGCAGCGGCAACAGCAGAGTACTGAGCAGAGGTCGCGGGCGGGCTCCCATCGTGGCGGGCGGCAGGGGAGCAGCAAGATTCAAGGCGCACGGACGAGCGGGAGCGCGGACCGGAGCGCGGGGGCCGCTGCAGCGCCGCAGCCCGAGCCCGAGGCGTCCCGAGCTGGAACCGCGCGCACCCCGTACCTCCGAGCCCTTGCGCGCCACCGCGGCCGCCAAGCCACGCCCCCGACGCCCCCTCCCCTCCGCCCGCACGGCGCCCCGCCCCCTGACGCCCCCCCTCCTCGCCGTCGAGGGGAGGAGCTGGCCATTGAGGGTAGGATCAGAAGAGGGATGGGGGACAGTGGCGGTCCCAGGGGAGTGCCAGAGACGCGGATGTTGTGCCCACTGCCTGGTTTGTCCACCGGGACGCAGGAGAACCAAAGTGACTCTCTTTCTGTGACCATCGTTAGGAAAGATGGTCACTATGGACCTACGTGGAGGTCTAGACCAATAGTATATGCCCCGTATTCTCCAAGTTGGTGGAGACAAGCTACCCAAAGAGCTGGGAGGCAGACCAGCATGGTGTCACAGGCGGCCACAAAGAAGACAACGAGGGCATAACTGTGGTGCCCTGCGGAACAGATGTAGCTAGAGAGAGGGGGAGGGGCGTGTCTGGAGTTAGCTTTGGCGCTGGACGAATCTGAACCCAAGGTAGAAACACTGGACTCTGGGCGCCAGTGAAAGCTATTAGGCAGACATTCATCCCAAGTCCATCTCCAGGCAGTCTGGGCTGTGTCAGGGCATGGCCAAATCTCCAGCTGTGGGGAGGCCCAACACAGCCCTTGTTCCAGGCACCCTCCACCCCCAGCGCCACCACCCCCACATTCTTTCTTTGTTGTGAAAGCAGCAAGGGGTGTGGGAGGCGGGTCAGGAGAAGTCAAGCTTTAGAAGATGGGCCCCAGCTGCTGACAGGCCTCCAGGATATGCAAGAGGGGATGGGTAGTGCCTTGTCCCCCTTCTGGCTCTGGAGGGCCCCCCAGGCCTGCTTAGACATCCCTTCCCCCAAGCAGCTGGGAGGAGGGAAGGAAGCCACAGAGGGCCTCACAGGCAGGAGAAGTGGCGCCAGGACTCCAGGGTCCTGCCACATGGCCACCACATGTCCCTGACAACCCAGTCCACAGCACCTTCTCCTTGTAGGCCTCCTTCCCCATCCCCCAGATGCCTTCCTCCAGGCCCCACTAAAGAGGGTACAAACACAGGGAGGAAAACAGGGAAAAAAAACAAGGATTCAACAATCCTGCTGTCCCATGTACCATTGCCCTCACCCTGTCAAGGGTCCCAACACACCCATGCTTCAATCAAGAGTCGAGCAGCAAAAGGTTACCTGATTCTTTTATTAAAGAAACATCATGAAATACATGGACCTGAAGTGAGGCAGCAGAGGGCAGGGGATGAAAGAGGCCAGCCCCAAACCCTCTGACAGGAAAACCAGCAGCAGGCACACCCTGGAGGTGCATACCTGCCTTTCACCCACCTTGGAGCCTCAGTGAGCTACTCTAGAGGACTCCAAAGAAGAGAACATATCCTGAGTCCCTTCCAAAGGGGCATTCCTGAGGAAGGAGCCTAGACTCTGGAGGCAGCAATCTTCCGTTTAAACTGCTCCTTCTTCACCTTCCCATTTGGGTTGGGGAAGGGACAGGAGCAGTGGGGAATTGCTGTGAGGGCTGAGGGGAGCATGGGGGTTGTTTGAACGTCAGCTGCTTGAAGAAAGGTCCATCGTGCTGGCACTGAGGCCCCGGGAACCCTGAAACAGATAAGACCAGTCACCCCATGAGCACCGGGAGCTCCTCCTGCCTGGCCCACAGCTGTCCTAGGTCTCTCTGGACCTGGGCTGGGCAGCCTCACCTCCACCCAGGAGCACTGGCTTGTACTGTGAATGAGCCGATATAAGAGGCCGCTGTGTTGAAAATAGCATTGCTGTTTCCTCAAAGAGATTTAATACCTTTTCTGTTGTTCTGTTTTAATTCCTTACTAAGACCTCAAGGTACCTGCAACTCTAAATCATTCTGGAATTATTCCTAATTCCAAAGTACCAGTTTGGAGGGCATCAGTGGCTGGTACTCTCCTGATTAACTTGCTACTGTCTAGCCTGAAACTAACTAACTAACTCTCTCTCTCTCTCTCTCTCTCTCTCTCTCTCTCTCTCTCTCTCTCTCTCTCTCTCTCTCTCTNTCTCTCTCTCTCTCTCTCTCTCTCTCTCTCTCTCTCTCTCTCTCTCTCTCTCATTTGCTCTCTCTTTTTAGAGACAGGGCTTCTCTATGCAGTAGACCTGGCTAACCTGGAGCTCCCTCTGAGACCAGGCTAGCCTTGAACTCAGAGAGATCCACCTGCCTCTGCTTCCTGAGTGCTGGGATTAGAGGCCCAGCATCTGAGACTGCCCCCCTATGCCCAGCACCTCCAGTACCACCCCATCAGCTGGGCTCCTAAAGGGCTCCCGTCTCCCAGGCCAACTTCCTCATAGGTGACCCTTTCCCCTTCCTGCTGCCCTGGAACTGCTTTCTGGAGCCCTTTGCTCACCTGGAGTGGGGCTGCACTGGGTTGATTCAGGTAGTTCAGCGAGGCTGCCCGCTTCATGTTGCTGCTACAGGGAAGAACGAGAGAACTGAGGCCAGTCCACTGTCCCTCCCTGTAGGACATGTCTAGGACATTGCTCCAGCACCAAGGGGAGCTGCAGGCACGGGCCTGCGGCTGCTTTGCCATCTTAAGCTTGTCACGTACCTGGATGGCCGAGGCTCAGTCCCTTGGAGCTTCCTCACCAGGAGTTCGCTGCTTCTACGAAGCACATCCCGGATCTTGCCCAGAGAGCCGCTCCTCTGTAGGGCGCCACTGCCATCCTAGCAGAGATTGGCAGTAGGAGCAAATGGGGTTCCACGTAGCCTGGTTTCCAAGTCTACTCCTGCCGTCTATTCTGCACCTGCCCCCGTCCCAGAGGCCCAGTGACTGAAAACAAGAGCCCCCTCAAAAGCAGATTCCCAGGGATAGACCTAAAAGGATGAGCTAACTGGTGGGGATAATACGATTAATACCCTGTAAGAACTTGGAGAAAGAAGCCTCGGAGCTTCTCAGTGCCCAGCAAGAAGGGAAAAGGCTGGGAAGTGGCAATGAGCAGACTTACCCCTGACCACTCGACAGCCACTGATGCATCTTCACCTCCCTCGAATTTCACACTGTCCCCAGGGCCCTCCTGGGAGGTCCTTCTACTATCGCCTTCCCCAAGCAGCTCTGCCACCTTGGTCTGACTGATGGGGTCAGTACCCTGGAAGAGGAGAAGATGCTAGGAAGATGCTCAGCCATAAAAGCACCAGCTGCTCTTCCAGGACACAGGTTAAGTTCCCAGTACCCACATAGCAGCTCACAATGCCAGTAACTCTAGAGCCAGGGATCCAGTGCCCTATTCTGACCTCTGTGAGCACTGCATGCATTTGGCATGCAGACACACATGTAGGCAAAATACATACACACAACATAATAAAATCTTTAAAGGAAAAAAAATAGAAGGAAAGAACTTCGTATTCCTTAAATGTCAGGATGGGCTTTTGATCTTTTTTCTACCAGGTACTGCAAGGACAGCATTTCCCCCCTTACGATGGCCCTGACACAAAACGGCAGGACATGCTTTGTGTGGCACTAGTGCATCCTAACACATACTTCGTGTAGCTGTGTCCCAGAGTGAATGGACGACTTACTAAGTCAGTTGAGATCTGCAACCGAGAAATCCTCAACCTCACCGGCCTGTGGAAGGGAAGAGCTGCCCTTCCACAGTTCCACCTAGTGAGGAAAGTCCAGTTTGCATTGTTCTGTTTTCTGTTGTGTGTATTTGAATGCGTTGTTGTAGGGAGCAGCGACTGTCTTCCCGATTGCTCTTCACACTGTCTTCTTTGAGACGAGCTCTCAATATACTTAGAGTTTGCCAATTTGGCTGGACTGGCTGGCCAGCAAACCCCAAGGATCCTCTTGTCGCTGCCTCCCCAACTTAGGTCTTCCTGGTTGTCTTCCCACACTACTCACCCCACTCAATTTCATCATCATTGTGCATGATGGGAAAGAGACACACACATTGCCACAGCTTGAGTGCTTGGAGTAACGCCCCTCCTTCCACTTTTACAGAGGGGTTGAACTCAGCTTCTCAGGACTGCATAGCAGCTCCTTTTCCCACCACGCCAGCTTACCAGCTCTCTTCTGTTTTTGAAACAAGGCTGAAACTCTGTAACTGAAGTTAGCCTAGAACTCATCATGTAGCCCAGGCTAGCCTCAAACTTACAGTAATAATTCTGCCTCGGCCTCCTGAATACCAGAATTTCAGGCATGAGCTACCATACCAACTGTGAAAGGAATCCAAATCTGTGCCATGACAAGAACGACAAGTATGGAGTGAAAACATTCTTAAAAACCACCACAGCTGGGGCTGGAGAGATGGCTCACAGGTTAGAGCACTGGCTGTTCTTCCAGAGGTCCTGAGTTCAATTCTCAGAACCCACATAGTGTCTCACAACCATCTGTAATGAGATCTTGTGCCCTCTTCTGGCTGCAGGCACACATGCAGGCAGAACACTATATGTAATGATGATGATGATGATGATGATGATAAAATTCTTTTAAAACCACTACAGTCACGATACCGCCTCACCCTCTTTAGCACACGCACGAGAAACCCCAGCAGTCCCTTGTGCACGAGAAACCCCAGCATTCCCTTGTGCCCTGGCCCTTCCTTCTTGGTGTTCCCACTCTGGACCGTCATTTCTGTTTGAGACAGCGCTCGCGCGTTTGCTCTCTCCCTCCCTCCCTTTCTCCCCCTCCCTCCCTTTCTCCCTCCCTCCCTCCCTCCCTCCCTCCCTCTCTCTCTCAGATTTATTTACTGGCTGGGTGTGGTGGTACAAGCCTTTAATCCCAGCACTCTGGAGGCAGAGGCAGGAGGATCTGAGTTCGAGGCCAGCCTGGTCTACAGACTGAGTTCCAGGATAGCCAGGGCTACTCAGAGAAACCCTGTCTATCTCAGGGTGGGGGAAAAAAAAGATTTATTCATCTTATGTGTATATGTGTCTGCCTGAGTAATATATGTGAGTCACATGCATACTGATACCCATGGAGGTCAGAAGATGGCATTGAATCCTGTGGAATTTGAGTAACAAGCAGTTGTGAGCTGCTTGATGTGGGTGCT